CGGCTCAGGTTTTCATGCCAACTAAATTTATTATCCTTAAAGACATTAATGGCATCTACAACTGCTTAATAGCAGATGATGCCCTTCGCTCTTATTTTGAAAATCCAGCCACTGCTAACCAGCTGGTCCTGACAATTCCTGTCTTGTCAGGTTTCATCATTTTTAAATTTTCTTGTTTATTGACCTGTGTGAAACAACTGAGGCTTGTCTTAATCCATCTGCAGGAGGCTGCAGCTTCAAAGCAGCTGCAGGAGTCTGGTGTGAGAATAAACCTTCACTTTTAATTCTTCACATTTTACAGAAACGGGAATTATTTTTGTATTTTGTGTTATCGACTACAGCTCTGCTTCTGCTCTGGAGAGTGTCTGTGTCTGCAAAGGATGGGCCCACCCATTGTATGGAAGGCTCACTGCAGAGGCAGCTGAGTAATTGAATTATTTTCTAAGCAATAAGATGTCTGCAGATGAAAAAGCTCCTTTCACTGTGCAGTGAAACAAATACTGAAGGAGCTACGCCACTCATTTCTGGGTGTGAAGTGCAAAGCTGGAAATCTAAAAACTGTAATAATAATAATAATAATAATAATAATAATAATGACAATAAAATGATCTGTATATCTTCATATTTTGTGTCTGTACGCTCATTTAAATGGGAATGAAGAGTCAGAATCATCAGACTGAGCAGTCTGAAGGAGCGACAGCTGAAGCGAGTGTGTTTGGGTTTGTCTGATGTCAGTGGGAGGAAACAGACCTGCCAAAGACTCTGGCGGAGAGTAGAACTGCCCATCAGATAAAGGACCTGGACCCAGGAGAGGAGCCCTACTTGTATCTATGATGGACCGATGTCCTGAAACACAGAAGGATGAAGGAAGCAGGAATAACTGCATCAGCAGGACATCAATGAGGTTAAAATAACATAACAGTAACATAACAGCGGTGAAATAACTTTCATTTATCAGGTGAGTAAACACATTTGCAGATTTTGTTCATAGCATATAATTATTAATAATTACAGGTAAACTATGCATTACACTTTACTCTAACATTATAATAAATAATTATAATATTAACTTCTTATCCCATGATCTTTTATTTTAAATAAAACAACTGAATAAAATTACTCAGTATGTAGCTTTGAATGTTCACCAGCAGGTGGCAGTGTTTCACCAGAGCGTCTGCTGCTGTTCTTTATTTTCTTGTTTCCTTTTCATTCTCCACTCAGAGGCTCTTGAGTCATAGTACTTGTTTTTTCACATTCTTTTGCTAACTTAAAGTAATAATGAAAGGTTTTAAAAGGAACCTGTGAGGTAAATGATCTGTTGACAGAGATCACAGCAGTGACAGCAGCAGCACTGCAACAGTAATGAAGGTGCCTTTTTTATTATTAGCTCAATTGAGACTCACTGTTTTCGTCTTCGATCTCCTGAGGCAGGACCTTGAAGTCGAGCAGCCACGTTTCTATCCAGGCCAGAACGAAGGAGATGATGGGCAGCAGGTAGCCAAAGGCCCCCTGACTCAGCAGCTACACAAGAAACACACACGTCCCAATATGAATACGTAATTCTACACAAAGCATACAAAATCTGACCGTTTAAAATTTAGAAGGTGCAAAAACAAATATTTATTATTGTTAAGCAGCAGCAATTACAGGTTTTCCTGTACAGGAAGGAGATAGTTTGCTTCACTTCCTTAAATCCTCATATATGTATGCATCGCCATCGGGGAATATGGAGCAAAGACTGCAGAGGAAAATTAACTCCAATAACAAACTGTCCTCTAAGAGGTTTTTGTGTGTGGACATTGACACCAATACTAAAATAAATAAATAAAGATATTATTAGAAGTAAAAAACTAAAGTCAGTGCAACATTTTTGTTACAAATAATGAAAATATTAGATCTTGTC